GTTCATACTTTATTGTAGTAAAACCGTTCTTTACTCTTGCCCTCATTTATGTAGCCACTCGTAAACGGCCACAGACATGTTCACAGGCTACCAGTAACTCCAGCAGTACACACCAGACAAGCCACGCACACCGTGCCAGACGACCCAGCATACATGGATGGAACCACGCAGCCACCATCCTCCCCGCTGGCCCGCAGGAAGACACCACAACAGCCGGGCAGCTAGAGGAAGGAGGGGAGCAGCGTCCGCTAACCTCACGGCGGCCCCCATTCGCGCAGGACGCTCGCCTACAATTGTATGGCGGCATCGCGGACAGCTCTGCCTACAGCCAGCCTGGAGTGTGTTCCTGCAGCATTGCCCTTAAATTCGGAAGCAATAATCCCAGGGTCCACTTGTTGGTCCACCTCAAGGGACCACATCGGTCACGCCGGGTGCTGTTGGAGGAGCGCCATTTCGGAGTCCCCACTTTCGAGGAGCCAATAGCAGCCGCGCAGCAGCCACCATGCCGACGCCAAGACACCAACGACACCAGGACACCAGGAACCGACAGGACGATCCTGATTCCGGCGCGACAGTTCGGCTCGTCCATCAACGCGTCGCGCCTCCACACTATCACTTTAAGTCCGCAACTCACTATTCGACTCTCTTCTTTCGCTTTCCCATTACTCTTTTATTACACAATTCTTCTTCGTTACTTTCTTTCGGCAGCTGCCGTTTTCTTTCTTCTTCTACTCCTTCTACTACGTCTTTCCCAGCCTCCTTCCTGCGTGCAAAGCGGATGCGAAAATAAATCCCGTGAAAACTAACGGTGTGCGGTTGCACCCCGGTTGGCTATTAGTAGCGGTGTATGTGTCCAGCAGTCCAGAGATAGATCGTTGCTTCTAGCCCGCTGGTATGGTGGAAAATTAGCATGTGTGTGAGCTGGTACTAAATGCTGTCGCGGAATCACATCAGCGTTGCTACAATATATATATACAGCTCTGAAGGATTGACGTGTCTGATGAATCATAGGTTGGATGCTATGCGAACAAACAAAAACACTCGAGAAAACTCGAAATAATGACGGTCGCATCAATCCGCTAGAGGACGCCATGTGCCATGATAATCATTCCGCCGCCGCAGCGCGATCTTGTGACCTAGAGACCTTAGACCTAGTGGCCTTAGAGGCGCGTGCACACGGACGTTTTTAGCCCGAGCCTAATTAGGTCCGCACCAAATTTGGCTCGAGCCGAGCGTTCACACGGACGATTTTTCGGGGCCCTGCCGAGTTAGCACGAGCCAATTTGGTCCCATCGAAAACGTCTGACCAGACCCGAGCCAAATTTTAGCACCAGCTAAATCGGTAGAGCGGTAGATGCCGCGAGTGTCGAACGTGTACTTCGACGAAATAAAGTCCAAAACAGTATTTAATTCGAAAAATTTGATCAGGATTGATAATTGAACTCGGAACGGAAGTAAACACTGAATCGTACACAACGCCATCTCGCGACATACTGCGAATGTATCTGTGAGATATTTGTGCAATAAAATTTATTTGAATTTGACAGA